GTATGACGAACGTCCAACGCCCTAAACCAACTCATTATAAACATCCGTCCTCCTCTTCAACGGCGAATCATTCCTCATACTCCTCACAAACTCAACATCAATCTCCGCACACGCAATCTCCCCTTCATCCTTCCAACTCCCCCCCTCCCCCTCATCACCCCCCAACTCCGCCACAATCTTCCCCCACGGATCCACAATCATACTATGACCCCAACTCCTCCTTTTCCCCTCCTCATCATGCACACCCACCTGCGCCGCAGCGATAATATAACTCTGCGTCTCAATCGCACGCGCCCTGATGAGAATCTCCCAATGTCCGGCTTTTCCAGTCGGCGTCGTGAAGGCGGCGGGGTATAACAGGACTTCTGCGCCGCGCGCACGTAGGGCGAGACCGGGTTCGGGGAAGCGCAGGTCGAAGCAGATTTGCATGCCTAGTTTACCGATGGGCGAGTCGAAGGGATCGCCGAGGTGGATGCCGCGTTCTACACCCGCGGATTCTTGCATTTGCGGACCGTCTTTTACGTCCATGTCGAAGAGGTGGAGTTTTTGGTAGCGGTATTTTATTTCGCCCGAGGCGGTGATCCAGATTAATGTGTTTTTTACTTTCTTGCCGTCGTCTGTGGGCTCGTGGATGCCGACGGAGATGGGGAGGCTGTATTGGACTGCGGAGGCGCAGAGGCCCTGGACGAATTCGGAGTCTTGGACGGATTTGCAGAGTTTGAGACCGCCTGAGGTGGTTAGGTAGTCTGCTGCCTGGGGAGGGTTAGTTTGGGTGATGGATTTTGGGTGGGAAGTGGTGGTGGTGTACTTCGGGCAGGAAGAGGGCGGCGGCGCCTGCTTCGTGGGCTTTGCGGCAGAGGGATTGGGCTTGTTTGAGGTTGTCGGCCATGGAGGCCTGGGAGCGCATTTGTCCGACTGCCTGGGGGTTGTTAGTATGGGTGGTTGATGGTCGGGTTCGTATAGAGTGGTCCATCTCGAGTTGTGAACCATCTCTTGAGCGGTGTGAAGATGTGGCGGGATGTTGGGGAACACGAGTTGTTCTAGATAAGAGCCAACATTGAACAAGATTTGGGATGATACATGGAAGGTACCCAAGTCAAGAGAATGAATTACAAAGAGTCAAATCCATACATTGACGGTACAGGTTGGCAACGATGGGATGATGGACATTTAGAAACAGTTTAGATAGCAAGGAAACGAGAGATGACTGGGAACAACTTACTGCGAGAGGCATCTTGAAGGTATTGATTGGTTTGATTGTGTGTGTTGGAATATGTGGAAGGAATCAAGGTACCTCTGATCTATATGAAGACAGCAAACAGAACTAAAGAAAGAATACTGCTGTCGTCAGAGACGGCAGGCGCGATGCCACTAGAGGCTAGTTCAATCATAGCAGTCATCGTGAGATGCATGTTGCATCTGGGAACGCATGCTAAAAAAGCATATGGCATGTAGACGACATCGAAAAGTGAAGATATCCATACGCCGATCGTCATGCGGAAGTCATGGCCGGGACCCAAGTCCCCTGCATTAAGTCTTGGTGGTGGGAATTGCGTCAGGGCAGAGAGCGGAGTTGCGGAACATTTGCTCGGCCAATCGGCGTGCGCCTGGCATGCTGCAACCGCGCCCGTCATCTCGAGGGCTTGCGCGGCAGGAACCTTGGGAGCAAAAGGACACGCATGCGATTGGGGCCGCCTTCCGATGATACGAGCTGATCTAGCTGCGACAACATTCGCCCTACGACATTCACCCTATGGTCATTGCTGTGACACCCCGCGAACCCTACTGATCGCGTACGACCGCCAACAGACCAGCCTGGCCTCCTGCGCAATTGAGCTATGAACAGACACAAGCGCCGAACGAGTGCACGCTGAACGCTAGCGAAGCGTCGTAGACGACCCATCGCACCAGGACACGTACAGCTGCAAAGGCACGATGAGCGGGAAGAACTGGTGGAACAGCGCCATCTCGGGCCTGGAGTCACGCCTCGACGGTATACTGGCCGAAGATGGCACCACCACCACCAAGCCGGCGGGCACAGAGGCAGGCGCCAAACCAGACACGACAGAAAAGGCAGCGACGGACAAGAAGCTTGCGGTCGAACCAGGTGGGTGGCCTTGGAGACACTTGCAGTTACCAGCTTTCAGAGAGCTAATGACACAGGCATCTCGCGCACCTCGTCACGAAGCCGACCCAATTCTCGACTACAAGACCGCCTAGCCAAGGCCGTGAATAAGGGCTCTGAAGCAAGAACCTCGTCGGACCTTGGGTCGAGACCCGCGAGTCCAGCCGTGAATGCAGCCACCGCATCGCCAAGAGCAAGCATAGACTCGAAAGCGCCCGAGCCAGCGACTGAGGCGGTAGGCGTGAAAGAGGAAGCCACGACGGTAAAGGAAGATGAGGCGCCCAAGCCAGATGAAAGCAAGGTCGAGGAACCTCCACAACCCGCCGTAGAGGCACCTGCGCCCATAGTCTCACCTCCAGCGACTTCACCACCGCCTACCCCTCTAGTAGCCGAGCAGCCGACCTCGACGCCCGTTCCCACCATGTCCATGCCGTCGATACCCTCCATCGTTACCCCGCAAACGTCCTCCCCCCGCCAGTCCTTCGACAGCGGCCCGTCGCGACCTTCAATCGACGTACTCCCCCCAACGCTGTCTACCGAGACCAAAGACCCCGAAGAAGTGCAGGCTGAGCTATCATTGCTGCAGAAGACATATGAGGAGACAATGCAAGACAATCGCGAGGAGCTCAACTCTCACCTAGAGCGAATCGATGCTTTACAGTCGAAGCTCACATACCTCTCTGAGCAACTTGCTGCCTCTGCAAAGGCCGCCAAGTCCGACTCGGAAGCGACCCCAGCGGATAAGAAGCTGGCGGACAAGGATGCACAGATAGCTGCGCTCATGGAAGAGGGGCAGAAACTCTCAAAGACGGAGATGAAGCATCTGACCACTATCAAGAAAATGCGCGCGAAGACAATGGAGCAGGACAAGGAGATTGCGACTCTCAAACAGCGGCTGACAAAGGCGGAAAAGAGCATCACTGAGCAGTCGGAAAGGACACGGCGTGCAGAGGCGGCGGAAAAGTCTGCGCAAGAAAAGCTGAAGATTGTGGGTAGGATTGAGAAGGACATCGAGACCATCAGAGCAGAGCGCGAGGAGGCTGGACTTACCATATCTGAGCTACGGAAGCAACTCAATGACGCGCTTTCACGAGCAGAAGACGCTGAGAAGAGAGCCCAATCTGGAGCGCTGGAAGCGGAGAAGAGGGCCACTGCGTCGCTCAAGGAAGACATCGAGAACGTCCGGATAGAGAAGAAGCTTGCCGAAGATCGCGCGAAGAGGGAGCTTCAGGCGGCCAGGGACGAAGCGAAGAGCCAGCAAGAGAAAGCAAAGGTCGCCGAGCTTGAATTGCGCGGCGAGATTGCTGTAAGTTTTGATGGCCTGTTCGAAAACCAGACGGACACTGACCGAAACATAGAACCTGGAATCTAAGCTCGAACTGCTCCGCAGCCGCACAGAAGAGGCGTCATCATCCGCGACTGGCGACTCGCAAGCCAAGCTTCTGCGGCAGATTGAGACGCTGCAGACCCAGTACTCGCTGGCTTCCGAGAACTGGCAAGGTATCGAGACCACTTTGACGTCTCGTATGGCAGCTCTTGAGAAAGACCGCGATGAAACGGCAAAGCGCGAGTCTGACGTCCGACGAAAAGCAAGAGAAGTCAACTCGAAAGCACGTCGACTGGAAGACGAGCTGGAGAGCATCAACGAGCGAGCTAGGACGTTCGAACATGACTTGACAGAACAGCGTACCGCAGCTCAGAAGCTCCAAGCTAGGCTCACACAAGCAGAGACGGCAGCACAAGATGCGCGAGCCGAACTTGAACGAGAAAAGAAGGTGTGGGAAGTCGAGCTTCAACAACGGCTAGAGGAGGAGAAGAACAAGTGGAAGGTGGAGATACAGACGCCGTCTCTGCTAGGTGATTCACATCATCTACGAACAGACTCACCTTCGATAGCACAACGCCGGCATTCACCCGACCCATTAGGCATATACAGCCGGCGACCCAACCCACGCTCCATATCCAGCGGCATGGACATGCCCATGATGTCCCCCATGGACCGCATGTTCGACGAAGCCTCGCGCCGCCCCTCTTCCTCCCGCCACAACAAATCCAGCAACGCAACCAAAGTGCGCACCCCCGAACTCGGTACCCCTCAACGACAGGACTCCATTCCATCAAGCATGTCAAATCTCAACGGTGGCCTGGAAACACCCTCTATCCACACCATCGACCACGACAACGACCCCTTTGAAAACACATCCTCCCCCCACCGCACCATAAACGACATGATCAGCGTCTCCACCGCCGGCGCCGGCCCCTCCGTCCAACTCGTCGAGCGCATGAGCGCCGCAGTCCGGCGTCTAGAATCAGAAAAAGCGACTCACAAAGAGGAACTCGCCCGTCTGACTGCTCAGCGCGACGAAGCCCGCGAAGAAGTTGTTAAGCTCATGCGTGAGGTTGATGAGACGAGGAAACAGGGGGAGAAGGTTGGGGATCTGGAAAAGAGGTTGGGCGAGATGGAGAATAGGGAGATGACGGCTTTGGAGATGTTGGGCGAGAAGACGGAGAGGGTCGAGGAGTTGGAGGGCGATGTGAGGGATTTGAAGAAGATTTATAGGGAGTTGGTTGATACGTTAAAGTGAGGTAGCATAGCCGTGGGGTCGGGAATTAAGATGCTAGCTTTCCTCCGTTTGGGTGTCACGAAACCGTGGTTCAAAGTGTTATCTGCTGACCAATGACGTCGCGTACCTCCCCGTGGTGTGCACAACCATGGGCCGCAAACAGTGACTCGTTTCGTCGAACTGGGCGCCTATATCTCTACGCGCCCCTCGGATCGCAGATTCGTTCTAAATCACAACAGGACCTTGATGACACACCGAGTAACAATTTCCCCATCCGTGTGACCCGTTACGCCTTTGCGACCGCCAACATCATGAACACGACCAACATAGCACCCGTCGTCTGGATCAACGGCTTTCCAGGCTGCGGAAAGCTTACCATCGCCTCCGTCATGAAGACCCTACATACCGACATGATCCTCCTGGACAACCACAAGCTGATCGACCCCGTGGAAGCAAAGTACGCACGAAGTCACCCCGATTACCAAAAAGAACGCCATCGGTATCGGCAACACATCTTCAGAGAACATGTGAGTAACCCTGCTACGTTAGCGCAGGTTGTGGTTTTCACCGGTAAGAATCCTATGTACCCCTCGCCATCAACACTTTGCTGATTGTTGTTATTGTTGTTATGAAGATTACCAGTCCGACAACGTACTAGGGCAAAAGGTTGCGGAAGAGTATCGGGAAGCAGCGAGACAGGCTGGACGTCCGTTCAAGCCTGTCTACATTGTTTGCGACGTCGAGGAAAACATCAGGCGAGTTGCTGCTGCTGGACGCGTTGACGGTGGTACGAAGAAGCTCACTGATCCTGATCGTCTGAGGGATTTTAGAGAGAGATGCGACATCTTCCGCTTTGATGGCTGTGACGGGCTGAGCCTTGACACGACTGATAGTACGCCTGGAGAAGTAGCTAGGGAGATACTTCAGTTCGTGGAGGAAAGATGAAAACTAGTTGCTACTCAAATCGGCGGGTGGTGCTACTTCGCTCAGCTGGGAGGTGTGACCTGGTGTTTGGCTTACTGAGATGGATCACTTGAGCGTACCCTTCTATCAAGCGTTCGTGGACAAGACATGCGCAAAAGCGCGTTGCGCAGACCTTTTACTTGGAAACGGAGAGGGGTTCTCGGTCTTGGTGAACGTCACACAACCAATGAACAAGTGCGGGCTGCGCTCGAGAAGCATGAAGTTGATCTGGAGGGCTATGCTTGGTACACTGAGCTTCGAGAGCACAAACCGATACTAACAACGGGCTGGGGTATGGGCATCGAGCGCTTTCTGGCTTTGGCGTTCCGCCATGACGATATCCGGGATATGACGATTGTGCCGAGGATGAAAGGGTTTAGGTTTGCTCCTTGAGTTCGTCGTCGCTCAAGCCGTTGCTTCAAACCCTAGACTGCGAATCTGTCTCGCGAAGGTGTCTCTTTATCTAGAAACGCGCTAAAATATCGCTATTGCTTGCAACACGTCTTCTTGCGGCATGAATGCTTCTGCATTGAAGACCACTTTCCTACAAGGAGGGTCATCATTTCTTTGCCTAGGTAGTACATCACGCTTCAAGCTTCAACGAAGCATGTTTCTAAGAACTACTTGATACTTATAGTGAAATGCATGTAAACTTTGGTAGATTATCTGACGAATCATCGAAGTGCGCACGCATGGTATCTCCCAGCGTTGTAAGCCAGAGGTATACCTGTGTTCTACGAAGCTAGGTGCTGTAATATAGACCTCTAGTTATATTTACTTCTTTTTCGCCTTCGCCGCCGCTACAGCATAAGCTCCAAAAGCTTCTGATTTCCTCATTTCGAAGTACACGTACAAGCCAAACCACAACACCACAGCTACAGCTCCACAAACCAGCAAGCAGCAAATTCCAAGGAGCAGATACTTGCATATTTGCAATCCTACCGGTGACGTGAGCACGCATATTAAGATCTGGGACAGTGCTGGCCACAGTACAACGATGCGGAAGTATATACGTAGCGGTAGCCACGTACTGCCGGCAATAGCCAAGTGAAGGGGATTGAGACTAGAAATGAGGCTCTTAGCTCCACTAGTGTAGTATCGATCCTTTCTGAACTCTTCCCTGAAAAAGACAGGAGTCACCGCGCGCATATGGCACGCGATTGGCGTCTCATCCTTGTCTTTCGACGACTCGAAATTGACACGCACCATCTCCATTGTGATCTTGGCTTTCAGGCCCCGCAGCATGCGACCGGCCATCTCTGGCGTCACATCCTCTGGACTTGCGTTCTGGAGCAGAGCTTCGAAGACGGTCCGCTTGTTTGAGTCGCGGACGTTCATACAATTGTCGTAAGTCCGAACGTTGGAGTTGTCGACCAGTGTCCTCAATTTCTTAAAGAACTCTATCTTGTCCGCGAGTGGTACGGGCATTGCGGCAATGTAGTGAAAGATGGTGGTCCATTCGGTCCATTTTTCGGGGTGCTCGGACATTGCGTGGACAATAAGATCGGGTCCAGAAGGGGAGGGAACGCGGGAATCGAAACCTGAGTCGTCAAAGAAATGCGCGAGCGTCCACATGTATTCGAAGTGTAAAGCCCCATTTTCTTGAACGTGTCCGAAGAAAAGGCTTTCTAACGCTGTCTTGGATATCTGCGGCGACTCGTCAAAGACCCAGCCTGGGTTCGCTCCTGCGCACAGAAGGATGTCAGCCATGGTAGGGTTCGGATACTTGCCCGGGGACCAGCCTGCATAGTGTAGCAGCGGTCGACCGGGCTTTTTGATGAGATCAGGTTGTCTTCTCAGCGCTTCCGAGACAAAAGCGCACATGTTGTTGCTCACTGCGAATGCCAGGAACGTAGTTTTCCAGGCTGGAGGGTGGTTCAGGCGTGGACCCAGCCAGTAAGCCTTCCCTTCGGTCGACTTTGATAAGCATCGATCAAGAACGTGGATAAGGTCGTAGGAATTCGTTCCCTCCAAAGAGTCCAGCTCGGGGGCGTACCTCATCATGATCTCTGCTGGTTCCAGGGTCCATCTAGACTCCTCTCGCAGGGCGTCGCTCAGCTGAATATAGGCGAGTGCGATTGAGATATGGTACATAGCGCCAGCTACCATGAATCCCTCCTGGGATTGGGGAAACTTATCGTTCATCCTCGAAATCAGATCTGTGTCAGATGTCGTCAGGAATTCCCTCACTGTCTGATGGAGGAACTGAACAGTCCAGACCGTGGCGTCTGGCATGAGCATTGAGTTCTGCACACACCAATGAAACGCATCGATGCAAGCATCAGGATTGGTCAAGCTGACAGTCTCGTCATGCACACCTGACACTATTCCTGCGAGCAATTCATCTCTTGAGGCGATCCTGGCCTTTTCGTGTGCATAATCATCTTCTCCGGGCTCGGTCGAAGGTTTGGCAACAATCGATCTCCTGATTGCCTCCCACGTTTCCAGGGCTTCCTTGTATCCTTCTGGCATAACGACCTGCACCAATCCTCCCGTTGCGTCTCTTATGCGCTGCTCCAATCTAGGGCCACTTCTACTCATATCCAATATCGGACGGGGCTCAATTGCATAACCGTCTTCGGTAAAGGCTTGATATGGAATCACCTCGAGAAGGACACCGATATCCATTACACTCACCGGTTTGTCCGCCGCCAGGAGCGTTCTGAAGATGGCGTCCGTCTCTCCGCGAGTCTCTACCGGTATGTTGTCGAGTGTGGACAAGTAGAGTTCAGCCATTTGTGTGTTTGTCTGATCCATATTCAATAGTCGCGCTCGTACGTTTCCCAAGTATTCGCTTCGTGATAGGCTGACATGCACGCTGTCGACGACCAGGCGAACCCAAAGAAACACGCCCATTGCCTGATCAACAATGAACCTGCAGATCTCCTGCAGCTGATCGCAGAATTCCAAATCTTCAGCCATGTCTCGTGCGCGCCGGTGGGATTCCAATCGGCTGTGGACATAATAGTATATGTCCCCTTTGGTCCAATCCTGCACCCGCAAGCCAGGTCGGCCCTTCAGTCGTACATCGAACGCGCTCTCCGGACGGCTGGTGGCGCATACCTTGAAGGTACCAAATCCTTGGTCGGCCTCACCTGATACCAGGAACTCCAAGAAGTCGGCCATATATTCCCAATTCTTCTCATCGTTGTCACTCTCGTCCAAGGCGTCTATGAAAAGACACATGCGAAACTTGACTATTTTCTGCGACTTGCATAGAAGCAGAATCCTCTCAAGCTCTTCTAGAGAGAAGGAACTTTGTTGGCCATGGGAAGCGACCAACGGTTCGATGATGGAATGAAGGGCGGGGTGGAAACATAAGAGTTTGTACACGATTGCGCCGACGACTGCTTTCCAGGATCTGTTCTCTTGCTCAATTTCGCGCGTCAAGAAGAATGCTGCATGAGACCAATCGAATGTCTCTAGGGTTCTGGCGATGTCGCCCGACTCGCATAGGTACTTCATCACGGTAGACTTCCCGGAGCCTGGCACACCCTGGATCCAAAACATGCCTTCTTCAACGGCAAGCCAATTCATTAGGCCGGGTCCTTGCAGGTCCGCTTGTAGGAGCCATGAGAGCGTGCGATCATGGGCTTCGTCAATCTGGTTGGTTTTTAACGTCAAGGCATCGGAAAAGTGTTTGAACAAAGACTCATTTCCTACCGTAAATCTATTAGACAGCGTGCCCAAAGTCGAAGGCTTGAGCCTCCCGCCAGAGAATCACGTACTTTCCCGCAGTGCTGCGTACACTCTGTTCATATGCTTGCTTATCTGGGGTCTCACCACTTGCTCATAATCAACCCGAGTCGGACCCGTCCTACTGAACTTGCACATGTTCATGTGATTGGCGGTAATGGGCAGGCGCCGTTCTTTTGCGTGTCCAATTTCTGAAGAGCCCGGGTCTACAATCTATAATGGGGGTAGCGTCAGGTATTCAGGCTTGACTAGAAGTTCTTTGCCGGGTTTCATACCTTTTCATCGAAGCCGTTGAAGCCTTTGTACCCTAATGATTCCTGGTAAGACGTAACATAGAGCATTTTCTGTTTGTCCAGCTTTTTTCTGAAGTCATCTCTTAGTATTTGCAGCATTGCGTCATTCGGCGTGAGCAAATCGAGGTTGATGTTACTCGTCGAGAAGCCGATCGCTTTGGCAAAACGGGAGATGATCTTGCCCGTGCTGACCCAAAGACTCCCGCGATGAGGGGTACCGAAGAACAAGACGCCCGCCGTTGATGCTAGTATGTCTTTCAGGTCTTCATCTTCATCCTCAGCTTCGGCAGATAGCCTCAAGGCCTATTTTGGATAAATGTCAATTGACCGAACACTATTAGGTGATGATGAGACCCAGAGAAGACTTACCGATTTGACGACTAAACCACCAAGAGAGTGCGCAATGAAAATGATGCGGCGACCTCGCACTTTCTCACGCTGAGGAGCAAGCCGTTCGAGCAGGTCTCGTCCACGGTCGAGGATGTTGTCGCGGTTAGCTGGGCCAGAGAAAAAGTGGCTAACGGAGGAATCATAGCCATAGGTGAAAACGCGCGCTTTGGGGAAATCCTCGAGCAAGAAGTCTCGCGGCCAAAAGGTGCTTGACGGTGGAGGAGTTCCGGGCAAATCAGCTGCGGGCTCCGTTGCAGCTGCTTTTGCGGACCGTCGGAAAAAGGAGCCCTTGGAAGATGGTTTGGTAGATGCTTGGTTATTAGTACCCTCGGAGAACGTCCACGTGCTCTCCGGGTGACCTTGTAGGCCATGTACAAAAACAATGTCAAATTCTCGAACCGCGTCGCCTTGAGTGAGCTCGGTCAGGCCATAGATGGATATTGTCGCGGGTACTGGACTGTTCGCTGTAGGAGTGGTAGTTTCCGCCATGTCGCCAGCCCATTTATGGCACACTTCTAAAGAGTGATCTCTGAGTAGGCGTGTAATGAAAGGATGAGTCTTCTAGTAAGGCGTGGAGAATGAAGTGGGTGAGCAATGACGGGCTATAAGCATATCCCTCCATGAAGGTTTCCGTATGCTAGCTAAGTTCGGGTGCGGCTGAAGTCTTTAGTTGGAGAGGCTGGATTCAGCCACGAAACACTCTAGCAATACTACAACCTCTCAAATCGCAGCTCAATAGATAGTCTGGACGCCAGAGGCGCAATCGACTGCAGCCTATACCCTCGTGAGCGCCATGACATGATACGCTTATTGCGCTTGCAAACTGAAGCAGGAGTCTTTGGTCTGCTAATTGTATACTCGTGGGTTGAAAGTTGCAGTAATACATAGTACGAGCAGGCGCTATGTATGGTCGAAATGCGACGATGAATTTGGTCATAGGGCGCAATACCAAAGATGAAGGATGCGATTGATGTTGAACAAGATGTAGGAGGGGCTTATCACCGGAGCAGGAAAGTAGCGGCTCAGGTTAGCCGTCGCGGTCTGGGCTGTTGTGATTGGGTCGGAGATGCAGGCAGCTCCCCCACTTTCAATTGGGCGTCCGAGCCAGGATGTCTTTCACATCATCAAAGCTACCTAGGTATCTCAATCATACCGTATACCGACGTACAATCTCAATGGCCATCCCGAATCAGGACTACCTAGACCGCAGTCTGAGTCAAAAGCGCGCTTTATTCTTCCTGTGTTTTGCACATACGATCTTAAGCATTTCTCTTTCATAGAGCCTTTTTCAGCACTTCAGTCTTGCAGGCTTCTAGGGGCTACTACTATCGAACATCGACGATCCGATGGAAACGCGCATAGATCTCTTGGAAGCTTTCAGAAAATCCCTCACAAGACCAACGAGTGCCAGGTCGGTACCTACAACAGCATTAGCCAACCTTACTTTCACCAGTCGTATCCAAAGAAAGAAGACTCACCCGGACATCCTACTACCGATATTGCAATTGGAAGCTTCTCCTCGCGCCCGCTCACCCGAGATGCGTACGGGAATTCTGCGACTAAACGAGCTCGTCAGCCCCATCTCTTCTACTACAAGCGTACGACCTACTTGGAACGACAATTTCGGGAGCCTCGATAGTGGGTGAGATATACAGCGCATCGAACGCCTTCTGTTTACTGGGCGGCTCTGTCTTCCGATCTCTGTAGTTTGGTGCGACCTCTGAGACTGGCAGCACCATGAATGTGTCGTATCTGTCCGCCTGGAACACTTCAGAGAGTAGCCAGTCTCTGTATGTGTCGAGGCGGGTTACAGCATCCTCGTTCTCTTCTCTCGTTATTGACTTGGCGAAATCCCTGGCGCGAAGTTAGATCACGTCAGTATCCGAGACGACGGCTCGCACCATCTCCACTGTGTGTATTCATTTGCGTAAGGTTCCTTCTGGAACTCGCGCCTGTACGTTTCACGGAACTTGTCGAAGCTGTGATAGAAGTCATACAAAAAGGTTCTAGTGGAGACCTAGGGCACGTCAGCATCGCTATCGCGATGATTCAATGAAGCCAGACCTCGCTCAAGTAGCCATCTAGTGAATCACCATCCGCGGTTTTTGGGTGCGACCTTTCCCATTCCAGTGATAAGTCAATCTCCGTGATTGGCGCTTGCAAATAGTCGCTGAAATCCTGGACGAAGCTCTTCACGTGCTGCATCTTTACTTCGTTGTTGACGGGGAAGAAGTTCACTGGATACAGAAGTCTTTTCGGCAGCTAATCGTGATCAGAAACAGCCGAAGATATTATTGCAAACCGCCCGGATTGAACTCACATTAGCCTTGGATTTTGCGATGTCGCATTTCTCGAGCCATACTTGGAGTATGGTATCCAGCTTGTCGATATCGCGAGCGAAGATACATTGCGTGTCGAAGCGACTGACAATCAGTGAACCCATTGCATTAATCACGCAATGGTATGAGCTTACTTGAAAGTAGACACCATTCCTTCGAGTGACAGACGCCCTGTAGAAAGGCGCAGTGCGAACAAGCCATTCACAAATGCCGGGCGACGCCCGCTTCCCGTAGCTACAATGCTTTAGAATCGAATCTCCAACTGAGACTTTGACTTACTGTCAGATCCAAGGGTGAAGTCCAACCACGCGTAAGACGCAAGGCCCGCTGCACTCCCGCTGCTACTGCCAGTTGGTGATTGATAACCGTCTCCGCGGGGGTTGAACGGTGCTTGGTAGTCTATGGCTTCAGTTGGCTCTTCACGTCCAATGAAGGAACTCAACTTCAGCATCCCGACCAGAGTACAACCTTCGCTCAACAATCTCGTGATGCATGGAGCGGTCACTTCCGCTCGTTTCGAGACCGCATAGTACGGTCGGCTGCAGAGTGAAGTTTTTAAGCCAGCGACGGAGTACATGTCTTTTACTGCGAATCTCATGCCGCTCAGTCGCAAGTCCAATCCTTGCTCAGTCAGACCGAGAGCATTCGCTCGTGACGGTATGGCAACGCTCAGCGTCTGATATCGGTCGCTACACAGCCGCAAATTCTCATATCTGTTTGGTACGACGTTAGTACATTATTCATTAGAATGCGGAGCAGATCTCACTTGTCTTCTTCACCTGGACGAATAGCAGTCATAAAAGCCCCATTGGTATCATCGTACAGTCTAGCCACCTTCCAGAGGTCACTACCATGCAGCAGGTGAGGACCGGTCTCAATGTCACAGCCACTCTGCAAGGTCGCAAGCGTGAGATTCTGCAGCCCTCGAGCGTTCAGCGCGGCTGCGACCTCGAATTCCAGTTCCAGACTCGAGCGGCCGTGAGATGCGACCACAACATGTTGGAGAAAGCTTGAGCTGGTCACATCGTCTTTGGCCTGGACTTCTTCTAGTTGCTGTACGATCTGCGCGTATTCCAGAGGCTGTGACGCTGGGATCTTCAAGAGAAAGCAGGGCTGTAACTGCGCATCCTTTGGAGGCGGTGCATTCTCGAAATTCAATCGCCAATGTTTCTGGGACCACATGGTGTACGATATCGTGTCGAACGTCAAATTGGTACTGACGGGACGGAGCTTTTGCGTTTGAGCTGTGTGTAAGAGAGCCTCCCACACTTGGAAGTCCATGCTGATAGCGCGCGCTTTCGATGCTGATGCGCCCATTGTATATTTTGCATGTAGGGAGGTAATAGCCTGGTTAGATATGGTAAGAGAGGGTTTGTTGGGCGTAGGTGGGCTGTATAATAACCCGAATTCCCAAGTCACGGATCCGCTTCACCCACCCAACGGGCTGGTCCCGTCATCAGCCGTGTGACAAACTCTACAAATGAGTCTTTACCCCCCTTGGGCAAGTCCAAGGGCGAGTAGGTTCGTGAGTGCCAGACAATCATGTTTGTCGTTATATTCTACATAGCAAACACATGTCACACGATCGACCCCACGCGCCAACACACGTCACTCAATAACTTGTCTCTCGGTCACGGTTTTGTTTCTGTTGAATGAGCTTTTTTTTCTCGGTTCTTTCGTTAGGGAAAAGAGGCGTGGCTGGTGATATGCCGGATTGAAGAGTGGCGTCGAGCCTGTTCAATACACACCATACGTACGATCCTCCAAGTAACCGTATTCAGCTTACCATCCTTAGGTGTAAGGATCTCTTTGATATCAGACAGTTGAAATCGTATTAAACTACAAAACTCATTGCGATGCGGAAGTAGGTCATTAATGCGCATAGAAAGCAAGTCCTAACTCCTGCGAAACCAACCCTTCTTCTTCAATGTCCCACCCAAGTACTCCACAACTTCACGATGCTTCTTCGCCTGCGCATGATCCAACGGGGTCTTGCCCTGACGATCCTGTACATTCATCGTAGCCCCATATTCCAGCAGCCCACTGACCATTACAGTACTCCCCAGCTTCGCAGCTTCATGTAGCGGCGTCGACCCAGAGTAGTCCTCTGCATTGACGTTTGCGCCTTCTTCGATCAATCTGTCGAGTATATGGAGCATGTGATCGACATGTGTATACACAAGCACGTGTAAAATACTGCGGCCTGTGAGATCAGTGCGATGCATGTCCTCTTTCGCTTCGTAGTCTTCAAGGAGTATGCTCACTATATCGACGTAGCCCATTTGAACTGCGTAGAATAGCGCGCATGTCATGCCGTTAGCACGTGAGTGTACGTCTGCACCGCGATCAAGGAGAAGAGTGATGATGCCGTAGTTGCCGCCTTCAAGCGCCATAGCTAGCGGTTTCGCGCCAGCTTTCCCGATGGCTTCGATATTGGCTCCCGCATCTAGGAGTGCAATGACAGCGAAAATCTGATTCAGCGAGATAGCGAGATGAAGCGGTGTGTTTGCGTCCTCATTCGCCAGTTCTGTGTCGGCCCCATGCGCTAACAGCATCGGTATATGCCAGCCTAGGAGATCGAAGCTTGTGACTGCATCGTGAAGTAGTGTATTCCGACCGTATACGGACTGGTCATTGATATTTGCGCCTACTGACAAGAGCTGTCGAAGCGATAGCGCGTTCCCGAACCAGAGCGCGTATCTGAGAGGGGTGAAATCCGCTTTCGCTGCGAACATCGCTTGACGAGGCACGTCAAGCCATGCGCCACGTTGAAGTAGTACCATGGCTAAACGAACGTCTTGTGTTCGAGCAGCTATGTGGAGGCCAGTACATCCACTCTTGTCTGTCGTATTGGCCGATGCTCCGCAGTCTAGCAGAATTTCCACAATTTTGTAGACATAAGGTGTAGTGGCGTTGTTGCTGATGACCCATTTAAGGGCCTTTTCCGGCTCATTCCGATAGGACTTCTTTCCTTTGAATCCGGCTTGGGCAAGACAGGCCAAGGCCTGTGCGGTGATATCTTGTGGTGATCGGTCTGTATCGTCCTCAATGGTCCACTCATCGATGATGTAGTCGTAATAGCTATGATCTGGATACGGAGGTAGCGGCATGCCAGCGAAATCATCGCCGTGGGGTAGCGAAGGAGGATTTGTGAACGGCCCCGGTGGGCTGATTTCAGCGACGCAATCTTCACAGTCGCAAGATGGAAAGTCAATACACGGCTCTCGATCATCATTCAGGGCACGCTCCCCTTCACAAGACCGACACATGCACGAACTCAGACATGACATGATGTAGTCCACATCGCTCAACGTCTTGAGTGAGAGGCGCACCAAATGATAGGTGCACGTGCAATCCGCCAGATCGGGGACGAGATCGTCGACTTTGCGGACTGCCTGGAACAAACGACAGAGATCACACGTGCAACCAGTGGGCTCCTGTTGACGAGCGAGAGAAAGTGTGCTCTGATACGGTGGCGGTGGCGGAAAAAGTTCGGGCTCGTCCGATTCATACTCTCGTAGTAAATCGGCTATCTCCAAGTTGCCAATCTTTTCGCTGATCGTCAGTGGTGTGTTGCCAGACAGGTCTTCGACATTTGCGTCAGCACCAGCCGCCAACATACTCATGATGAACTCAGTAGGCGCGTCATGGTAGCAGGCCAGATGCAGTGAAGTTTCACCACAATCGTCCTTGGTATTGATATCGGCAGCGCCAAGGTAGCGGAGCAAAATTTGGTAAGTCGCTAAGCGTCGTCGATGGATTGCAACATGGAAAGCGGTCTGGCCTCGAAAGTTCGTGATTGTCGCATTGGCACCTTTCTTGATCAGGTACTTCGTGATACCAGCTCTGTTCCTGTTCGCCGAATAATGCAATGCGGTGTGATTGAATACATCGCGTTGATGGATGATCTGTGGCTCCACAAAGAGGGCGTGCTCAATCACATCACGTGCGAGAGAGTCATCGCGGAAGTTGCTGGCGACAAGCATAACGTTGGCCCCGTATTTGTCAAGCGCTTCTGCCGCGATTAGACCGGTGATTTCATCTCTCCAGTTTGGATTCTTCTCCCTCAGAAGGGCCAAGTGATATTCGAATGCGCCGTCATCGGCTGCAAACGCTTCCGCAAGACTGATGACAGTAGAAGAGTCTTCTTCGTTCGTGGGTTCGGCGGCCTTTGGTATATGCACGAACCGCAAGTGAGCCGCTTCGTGCTCATGATCGGTACGTTTGCCTGTGCGATCTCTGGCTATGTGTTTCGGTTTCGTTGCTTGCATCTCCGGTATATCGGCGCGAGCTTTGTCCACATCGTTGGTCTTTTCCATACTAGCCCTTGTCGGTCTTGGGTAGCTATCCTCGGTCACAGCTGCAGGTGTGGCGCAGAATGGTACATTTGCATCGTTCCCGACGTTGAGCCATATAGGGTGCGACTGACCGACACCTCCCGTGGAATGATGACCGAGGTAATCCGGTACATGGGGAGGTGTATATACTATCTTTTCGATGCTTGGGGGAGGGGCCTGGAGCGTCACGTCACTGCCGATGGATGTCGTCGTAGTGTTGTTCATGACGGTAGGTTCATCCGACATGCCATCACTCAGCACGGCCGTCTGGAAGATATCATCTTCTGACTGCGAGCCTGCCCAAGATGTTGTGTCACTTCCGTCCCCCGACAAACCCTCACTTACACAACATGGACCGCTGTAATGGACTCCTCTGGCTTGTTCCTTTGTTATCATTGCTTGGAGATCTTGAGCTGTGAGTCTGAGTTTAGGAACACTGGCGGTCATGTTACTGGTCCATTGTAACAAGGGCTGATCAGTCGTTGATCCCATCGACAGCTCGGCTATCCAACTCTGGATTGCTTCTGGATTCTGCCAATAATTTGTTGACAGTGTCCCTGTGGTTTGGAAGAATTCAGCCTTTGATCGCAGTTGTCTCTTGGTAAGAACAGTCTAGAAATGTCAGCGATGTTGAAACATACACATAAGCAACTCTTAACTCACGGCGATCTCCAGATAAATGCATCCCAAGGACCATACATCTGAAGCGGTATTACGGGGTTGCAGCATGCCAACCTGAGATAGTGTCAACAAGGATTCAGGTCATCATGCGTAGCTGAACTCACTTCGGGTGCGATGTATGCCGGTGTATAAGCTTCGGGTTGGCCCATCGTAGTCTCTCGTTGCGCTTCAGTCCAGTCTAAAGCGAGTCCAAAGTCCGCTATATACACTTGCTCGCCTTTGATCAGGATATTGGACGGCTTGAGATCTTTATGGCGGCATTTGTTGTCGTGGAGATAGACCAGAGCGGAGCACAAGCATCCCACGAAGCCCCGAAGGACGACATAGTCTTGTGTGGTCCACGCATCCCGGGCCAGATATTGTTGCAGATCGAGATCAGCTACTGGTTCCATGATGATGCCAATGTATCTTCGATCGGTGTATGAACTGACACATTACTCGTTAGCGGCGCACTGTATTTCGGCTTGCCCAAACTCACCCTAGGAGCTTCACCAGATGATGGTGCGACAGTCGCTTGAGGTTATGGACCTCGTTCTCGAATGAGAGCAGCTTCTTGCGGTCCTTTGAAAATGTGCCGCTCCTTCGATCGATGCGTTTTAACTGTTGCTGATGAGTCAACCCTCTAGCAAAACACATCACAAGTCCTTACAGCGTATTCGATCAAATCAATTCTGCTTTCGACACGATGGACAATGCTGAAGCCGCCTTTCCCAAGCTGCTCCTTAATGACAAAATAAGAATCTGCACCTTTGTCTGGCGAAGGTCAGCACCTGAGCAGCGAACGGTGTACAGAAGTGTAGCTTACCAAGGTGATGATGACGACCTCCTTGTACCAGATCGACTGATCTTGAGCTGAGTACAAACCGTTGTTCCCGAAGAAAGTTTTGCCTGGAAGCAGCAGATTTGAGACTGGAAGTAAGGTCGACTTCAGTGAAAGGGAAGTGAATGTCCTTGAACCCTTCGACAATGAGCATGTTCATCGCTCGCACTTCCTTGATCATGCGGAGCACGAGATATAGTCTGGGTCGTACACTCCAGTCATGCTTTCCAAGCATTGCGAGTAGTTCCCCGAGCGCCAGAATTGTCTCGTCGTTGTATGGCTTCTCGGTACCCATACGTTGAGTGGACGCGGTCGATAAAAGTGACAGAACTCTCTCCTCGAAGTCTTCAGCATCTATCTGTAGACCATTTGTAGTCATGTCTGAAAAACGGGTGGCAGGTAGCACTGGTGAGGCTGACTTGTTCGTGTCCGGGCTCAAGGCGTTTACTCGCGGGATTGTCGATGGGGTCGGGGTGGCCGGCATGCTTGCAACGCGTTTCTCCGCTCTTGGGGTGGTTGGAGTTGATGGTACCTTCGAGGCTGGGATTTGGTCAATTGGCGGGCGAAATCCTGCAGGCGGCTTTTGGTGATCCTTCCAGGCCCTTCGCGGTGGTACAGGAGGGCGGGTCCTGTCAACCATAGGACGTGAGCTCTGCGTCTCCTCGAGTATAGACGTAATCTGGTCGAGTCGCATTGTGGCTCGGCGTCGGACCTTTGCAGATCTATGCTGGAGCTCTCGCATTTCATCCAGCATCACTGTCTGCTCTTTGTCACCTGGCGCCGCTAGCCGTTCGTTTAGCAATTTTCCGATTTGCTCCAAGGCCACCTCGAGTCTGCTGATTTGAGCTTTCAGGCTTGCGGCATCGAGAGCATCACGTTCAGCAACCTGCATTTGCTTGCAGCTGGGATAATTCGTCAGTCATTTCCTTCATTGTTCAAAAGTGGACGACATACGTTGAGACAACTGTAAACGCCAACTGAATTGAGCTCTTATGATCCTGGAAGTTGCGCTTGATGTGTTGGAGGTCATCCGAGCGTCTATCAAGCTTGAACTGAAGCACGCCCTGCCTTAGGCGGCCCGTAGCCCCTGAGATATCGAGATCGTAGATGAAATTGCTGAGTCTTTGGGCCTCGCGCTCGCAGCTTTGAAGAGCTCGTTGGAGACATTCTAGCAAGTTGACCTGCGACGCGCCTTGCACTTCTTCCACCGCAGCGACGAAGCTCGGGGTGCTGAGAACGCGATGTATGTTGTCGATCAGGTCGCAAACAGCCTCTGAGTCGGCTCGGAGTTCATCAAGAGTCTGATGAATGCTGCCTCCGTTGGAGTACGCATCCTTCAACTGTTGAACTGCTGGACGGAGAATCTGTATGACCGTCAATGCGAGGCCAACGATGCTGATCGGGTCCGCCATGTGAGGCAATTGAGCACGAAAGATGACAAGGATTTGGTCAAGAAAGACATCAAGGCTACGTTCCAACAAAAGGTCTGGTGCACTACTTATCCTGTGGTGCACAGCCCCGCAACCGAGCAACGCATCGAAACTGAATCCGTAGCCATGCGTCTCAAGCCCATTTTTAGGCACGGTATCAAAGAAGCCAGGCTGAGTTAGTCTATTGGTAAGGAATCAAACTTGACTGCAGATGTAAAGCGCTCCAATACTAGCGGCGGCAATGTCAAGAAGAAGGGGGCCGAGACCGAGTGGTAAGGAGGGCTGCTCGCGGAGATGATTGCCCAAAGAACGCATCCTCTCTTCAGCTCTCTGACAAAAAGGCTTGCCAAGAGTTATCGAGACGGACATGCAGGAAGGCTACCGATAAGAGATTGGGGGCTGATGACAAGGCTGAACGAGAGCCGCCTTCTTGAGGGACAAACCCACCCCCTCACTGACTAGGTTTTTCCGCTCCAAACGACAGCCTGAGTGGTCTCCATGCTTTCGCAATCAGGGCCTGCAAAGAATATAGGACCCAGTCAAATGGAATTTTCGGAGCACCTGTAAGCCGTTGGGTTAACGTTGACCTTTTGAGTACCTCCTGCGTGACTAAAGATGAGTCCTTTAGGATTTACACGTTACATACTGAACGGGATGGATTGATCAGTGTTTTTACATCGCAAGCCAAACTCAATGCGGGAGTCTTACATGTTCAGATGCATCAGGCCACCTCTGCGCTCGGCCCGGCAGTGGCGAGCAATTGCACGTGAAAGCTCCCGAGGTCCACATGATGTGTCGCGTAAGCAGCCACCAAAAGCAGGCCGTGGTATCAGGTAGGCTGTATAATGACCCGACTGCCCCGGAGGAGAAATAACGCATGCGAAACGTATTGGTACCATTGTACTACCTCAAAATTTCATCAACGCGATATCGTACAAGCCATGTCAAGGCAAAGATTGTATACATGCCATTCGTTCGTTCATCTCCCAGGGGTATTCAATTCTCCGCTTCTCATCGTATCGTAAGATTGCATATACACAGCAGCCGACAACATCACTCTCCTCCGGTCCATGGACACAACATCGGTATACGCGTCTTCTACAAGAAGTATTCTCCGCGACCTCCACGACCCGCGGGGACGGCGCGCTTATGATCTGGAACCGCAGAGAAGATTTGGAACTCGGGCTTGAGGTCCTCGCCTAGGTTCATGATGGAGGCGACGTTTCCGCAGCGGTAGCAGTAGTTGGGTGCGGACCAAACGGTGACAACGTCTTTGTCTTTGAAGTGGTATTTGTAGCCTTCGTTGACTAATTGATGGGCGCGTGCGATGAGTTGGAGGCCGTTTACGTGGTTGAACTGCGACAGTTAGCGATGGGGTAATGGACGAGCGGGGATGAATGCATACCTCGGAAGACACCTTGTCACCGAATAGCCAGCCGGCTCCTCGGGGTGAGACAGCCCACGTGTCGACATCTTCGGGGTCGCTCCATACGAGATCACAGAAGGCTCCTTCGTGTGGGATCTCTTGGGCTCGCGCAACAACGCGGATCTGGTCTAGTGTCCTGATCTCTGGACTCAAACCGCCGTGTACGCAGAGAACTTTTCCGTCGACGATAGCGGCTAGGGCAAGGAAATCGAAGACTTGGCAGCAGGCCTTCCATACCGAAGCGTTGCCGTATTTGGTCTGACATTCCTCGTAGAAACCGTAGACTTGGGTGATTTGTCTCGACTCGTGGTTTCCGCGGACGAGAGTGACGCGGTCAGGGAATCTATTTCAATTAGTACCGTTAATGTAGTTCTGTGTGCCAGTTGACCTACTTCGCCTTCAAGCACATGAGAAGGGTAAAGGTCTCCAGACTGAAGTATCCTCGGTCGACAAAGTCACCCAAGAAGATGAAGTTCTGCTGGCCATTTCCACCGACTGTGTTCTTGGTAGAGTCTGCATCCGATGCCGAACCAAGACTCCGCCTGTCGTGAACGCTCCTGCTTCGGCCGCGTTCCTCCTCCTCTTCGTCGTCGCCCTCTTCATCGCCATCGCCGCCAGGAGGACTTGTTGGCCCAGTGTAGTTGGGATCGCGCTGGAATCTCCTCTTCATCTTGCGCTTGACCTTGGGGTCTGTTATGCTGGTAGGAGGCTCGAGATCGGCGGGGTTGATTGTGCTTGGTAATGTGACTGGTGGTGCGAGGGGCGCGGCAGGGGAGTCGTTGGGCATGCCGCCAGCGACACGGAAGAGCTCGAGCAGATCGTAGAATTGACCGTGGATATCTCCGCATACTGTGACGGGTGTTCGTACGGGTTGGATGTTGGATTCTGGTAGATGTATGTTAGTCTTATATATGGATATAGATAGCATGCCGCACAATAGCCATGCTTTCTTTCTCTTGCATAACTCATGCGGCATTGCTGAGACTCACCCTCCATCAGACATTCCTTGACAATCTCACATAGTCGCTTCATGTCGGCCTCGGGCAGGTACTTGCATTGCTTCGCCTGCTCCAGCCATTCATCCGGCCCTGCGCCCTTTGCGAGGCGCGCGGGCCCTGGCTGTGGTACGTCGCTATCTTTGCCCATATTTGAGTCGTACTCTAGCTCAGAATGAATAGGGAAAGCTCGATGCGGTGCGTTTAGGTCGGGATAGGCGACAATGGCGGCGGGAGGGAGGCGGGTCGTGTGCCGATGGGGGTGCTGAGGGATAGGCTATAGGGTATCATGGGTCAGCGTGGGTCGCAGTGAAAGTGTGCGCAGTCAGCGGCAATTGGCTGCGGTGTGGGCAGCGCGAGGTTCGGCGTCTTGAGGATATATCGGCGTGGTTGAGGTGTAGTCGAGACGCGGGCGCCGGTGGGGCAGCTGCCGCCCCTCGGCGCTTGCCGTTGCGCCTGCCCTCGCCCACTGTCTCGTGAAGGCGCGCCCGTTGTCGCTGCGTCATTGCCGCAACTCTCACCAAAACAATCGCCGTGTCTGGTACTGCCTTCTCGAGTGGCCCTCCAATGTCCTCATCTACGAACCGGCGCTCCCTCCTCCACTTTACCTCTGCCCAGCGACACGCGCGATAAATTCACCCGGCACAGGCTCTTGAGTACGACCACAACCACGGTATATATCATGTTTGTGTATGACAAACAACCATCACTAACAGCTGACTATAGAGAAGAACTAACGATTCGAGCATACCGACTCAAGGCACAAACGAGCATCATCGCGCTCCCATGGCCCCCCCGAATAACCCCAACGGCGTCCTGCCAGTCACACTTCTCCAGAAGAACGCCCCAGCCCAGTCGCCTCGTGGGCCCAAAGCAGCCCAACCCCGCCTGAAGCTGATATGTCGGCGACTTCCTCCTGGCCTCACCAAGACCGAGTTCATAGAGGCTTTAGGCGACGAGTGGAAGCTTGGTGCTGGCAAGATCGATTGGATGAATTACAGAAAGGGCAAGATTTCTACTGAGTAAACCTCACCTACTTGTCTTTTGGAGACGGCCTATTGACCCCCTCAGTGCCGCCAAACCCTCCAAGCCAGCGCGCGCATACGTCCACGTTACCAAGCAGGACCATGTCAAGGCGCTCGGTGACCACGTGCGCGCAATCACCTTCCACGATGCCACCAAGTCATGGCAGGACCCCGCCCTCGTCGGTCCGCCTACGCTCGAATACGCTCCCTACCCGAAGATGCCTGGTGGCCGCCGCAGGAACGATAACCGCCAGGGCACCATCGATCAGGATCAGGAATTCAAGGACTTCCTCGAGAGCCTCACCAACCCCATCACCAAGCCCCCCGCCGCCGAGAATGAAGGTCAGAAGGAGAAGGTCAAGACCACTCCTCTGATCGAAGCGCTCCGGGAAAAGAAGGCTAACAGGGAGAAGCCGAGCGCAAAGGCCAATCGAGGTCGTGGAGAGGGCAAGGATGATGGTGAGAAGAAGATACTCGCCAAGCCAGGCAAGGAGAACGCCCTTAACTCTGGAGATAAGAACCGCCGCATAAGCAAGGCTGACAAGGCGCAAGCCTCCAAGGAGGCTGTCAAGATCCTTAACAAGGAAGCGTCATCCTCCAAATCATCTGCCTCAGCCTCGGCGGACAAGGCCTCTGCCAGCCCAGCACCGGAGCGCAAGCGTGGTAACGTCGCACTCGCAAAGTCGATGCTGCAGCGTGACCTCGGCGTAGGACCTGCCCCAACTCGTCGACGGGGAACGAAGCGCGAGGTTGGTACGCCTGCGCCCGAGTCCAATGCACAAGCAAAGGAGACCAAGGCAGTCGAGGAAAAGGCCAAAGAGTCGCCTGCTTCACAACCTGCAGCTTCGACTCCGGACAAGAATGCGCAAGCAAGCAGGAAGGAGCGCCCAACTCGAGCAGAACGCCGCGCTTTCAAGGCCAATCAGGGTGACAAGCCCAACGACAAGGCTACCGCCAGCGATGTAAAGCCCCAGACGCCGCTGAAGACTCCTGCGCCGCAAATTTTGAAGAAGCCTCAGGCTCATACTCCGACGGCTCCCAAAGGTCCAGCTGCCTCACGAGCTCCACCCACCGAGCCTGCCGCAGCCAGAAACAGCCCCGCTCCTACACAGTCGCATTCTACTCCAGCAAAGGCCGATGCGGGACCCGCCCAGGCGCACAACAATACCCCTAAAGCAGCACCAGCTCAACCCGTGCCCGCACCCACAAGCAAGCAAGCGTTCCTCAAGCATGCCAATCCCAGCCAGGGTATTACCGAGCCCCTCATCGAGGAAGTCATGAAGACCTTTGGAGGTATTGACAAAGTCGAGATTGACAAGCGTAAGGGCTTCGCCTATGTCGACTTTGCCGAGCCGGATGGTCTCAAGAAAGCCATGGCCGCCAGCCCCATCAAGATCGCCCAAGGCGCTGTTCAGGTTCTTGAACGGAAAGAAAAGGTCGCCAGAGCTCCTCGCTTCAACGGTCCACCGACCGGGCCTGCTCGTGGCGGCGCTCGTGGCAACTTTGCACCTCGTGGAGGACGTGGTGGTCGTGGAGGTGCTAGAGGCGGCGCACATGCTGGTCCTGTTCCCGCTGCGGGTGCTGGCGATGCTGCCTCGACTGCCCCAGCTGCCGTTGCTCCCGCTCCTGCACCTGTCGCCAATACCAACACCGCTACGTGAACGGAACATGCATATCCACGTGACAGTGACGAGACATCAGCATTTCGACGACATCCTAACGAATACGGGCGCCTTCTATACCGCAGTCCACACAACATAGATTGAGATGACATATCTCTGTGCTAGGTCTTCATCTTGCATAGCCTTACAATCATCGATATCGGAGACCTCAGCATATCGGATATGCACATGATGAGACATACGTTTGGTGCCACGGATCAGTTGACCAAGAGGCACGGCGATATGGTTTGGATGTATGCGATACCCCATCTACTACATGGATATGAGTACGAGGCGATGGGATGTACGTCGGGGGTCAGCATGACAGGAGGTTAGCGAAGTAGTGGATACATCAACAAGATGCATGTATCTATTCACTTGGTATTTCCTTCAACACTTATCCCGTGCAAGATGTAGAGAGTGGATAGAGTTAGATTAGACTGAAATAGACTAAAGATGTCCTTATTATTCCTACTCTCATACCCTGACGATAAAAGAGTGTGTTAAGGAAAAATAGCGAGCTTTTGGTGCCGTGAGGCGCTTATCTTTGGTATATTGAGTAGGAAACAACGCGCGCGGTAATCAGAGGCTGAGCAATTTCGTGGCAACAGTGATGTTGTATGGACATGGTGGTGGGGTTGAGTCGCTTTGGGCAAAAGTACGGTGCGAGAACGATAGCAGGGCAGAGCAGAGCAAAGCAGAGCAAAGCAGCAAAGGACAGACGTAGCAAGGCCAAGGTAAGCAAGAAAGCGCAATCATGAAGCATGTACATTAACGTTGAAGATGAAAGATTTCCAGCTCTTTTCCCCATGTACCATAAACCACAGACCCGTCAATCCGCCTAATGCGAATTCTCTCTCCCTTTATCCTCATCCTCCGAATGCAATGCTAATACCCGCCCGCCTTGTTCAAAACACAAAACACAAAAATGCCAAAGCTAACTACATACAAAAAAAGGGTATCGACATAATCCGCCGCGAAGCGTTAGTGGGAAAAGATAAGGTAGTTTTCCCAGATCCAGGTCTTTGGCTTGAAGATACAAAACATGTGTGGACAACAAGATAAACTGAACTGCAACCCAACTCGCTAAATGATACTACGAGAACAAGAAAGACAAGATAAATAGAGCAATGCGGTAATGACACGCTTGATGATGGTAAAAGATGCCAAAGGAGGTGGTGGAGAAGTAGATGTTGTTATCAACGGTCAAGGGTTGCCAGGGAGAGTGTTGAAGATGCAAAGGTTTGTCGTTATAGTAGGCCGTCTCAGTTGTACATGGTATATGAGGAAAAGGGTGATGAAGGCCTAAGAGCCTAGATCATGGGTGTGTTTTCGCCGCCCTGGTATACACCAGCTTGGAGGGTGTTGGGAGGCATGTTGGCGCGGAGCTCCTTGGGGTTCCTGTAGAAAGGCTGACCGTTGTCCGGAGGAATGACTTGCTCCATGGGCTGGGGCATCGGTGGTGGCGGCGGAGGCGGAGGAGGAACCTGGTTGAAGTTCGAGTCGTGGTGGTTGCCCGAGTCGCCAGGAGGGGATCTCGTGTTTGGTCCACGGGGGAAGGAGAACTCTGGTACGCTCTCGTAGGGGGATCGCTCAGCGCGGGTCATAGTGATAGGTGGGGACTTGGCGCGCTGAGGCCCACGGCTGGTGCTACGCATGCGTTCAGTTACGCGCTTGAATGTCATACCCAGGTTTTCGCTCACACTGCCGCGTCCCCGACGGTGTGCATGTGGGGAGCCTGTAGCGGAAGGGTTGGTAGGTGACACTTCCATGGGCTTTTCGCCGGGACTGTTGCTATCGATAGCAATGTTAATCATACCGATGCCGTTGTGACCGCCAAGGTTTAGCGGTGGTGGTGGCGGAGGCGGTGGGGTTGCTAGATGCTGGAGCTGAGATAGCAGAGGAGGGGCCCTGTCTTCTTCCTGATCGATGATGATGACTTGGTTGTGGTTGTGATTCTCATGGATTGTCTCGGCGATGCTCGCAGTGATGGGCGGTGGGCTATGGCGCTTGTAGTTGGTCTGAGGCAGGACATCGGGCATCGTGTTCTGGCGAGAGTGACCGCGAGATCCACCTACAGAGGGGCGTCTGCCCATCGGGAAGGTAGGCGAGTTGTAGGTGCTGGATGGAAGGATGTCCTGCGGAGGCGCTGACATGGACCTTGGAGGTGCAGTAGGCTGACCAAAAGTGGTTGCTGGCAGTAGAGGCCCAATGTCGTCTGTTTCTCCGGAGTGCGAGTCTTGAAATTGCATGTTGTCCGGGATACTTGGCACTGCTGGGATGTCATCCTCATCATTTGGGTCAGCAGTCATGTATCTAGGATGACGCATGGCACGAGGATTGGCTGGAAGACCAATTGGTACAGATGTCGTCGATGTTGGTCCTGCGCCGCCGATTCTCTTGGTCATCTCCGGATCCGCTGTTTGGCTTCTCGTAATTGGATCGCGATACATCGACATTGAGTTTAGCATGTCATCAGTGTTCGACCGCTCGTGGGACACTGGTCGGAATGCGAGATCTCCAGGATGGGGAATGACTGGAGCGGATGGCCGGCGAGCCAAAGACAGTCTGCGCTCTTCCAACTCACGAGCGGCCAGGGCCCTCCTTGACAACGTGGCAGGGCGCATGCGCGACGCGCCCGAACGTCCTGAAGTCAGGGAATCAGGAGAAGCATCGCGTCCGTAGCCTCGTGTGCGGCTAGATTCCCTCAGGAATGGCGTGGGCTTTCGGCTCACAGATCGGTCTCGTGGTGCGCGGCGCTCTTCGGAGGCCTCTCGACGACTGCTCATAGCACTGTCAGAAGGCCGGCGGCTACTGCTGCGGTGTCGCTGGCGAGGGGGCTCATATCCAGCAAATCCTTCATCATCATCGCGCTGCATGGGTTGAGGAGAGACGGGGGAGTGCTCTCCGCGCTGAGCGCTTCGTCCGCGACCCTCAACTGGACGACGACTTGACGCGCGGCTAGCGCCTCTGCTTCGGGCCCGTACGGCACCTTCAGGAGACTCAGTGCGGCGAGTCGCTGCCTTGGACGAGGATCTTGTCTTGCTGACTCCCTGTCGTGCCCGGCTGCGTGCAGTGCGGGTGCTGGCAACAGATTCTGTGACAGCCGGAGAAGCAATGCTCATCTTGTAGAACCTCTCATCATCGAAATCTTCCGTGCTAGTTCCCATTTCCTTCTTCTGTGAAGAGTAGATACCTGCGTCTTCAGGAGACATTGGCACAGGTGAGGATGGGGAACGCTTTCCTTGACGAATGTAGCGAACACCTGATCGTCCGCGGTTCTGCGACTCCTCACGAGTGCGACTACGAGTGCGTGCGGTGCGCGAAGCTGGCCTCTCCTCGTTTCTGGAGTTGGCGCGGTTCTGAGAATAGTGGTTTGCTTCTTCCAGACTGCTGATGTACTGATCAATGCTGCGTGCCTTGGCGCTCTTGATGCTTGCGCCGGTGAGAGGTGGACTGAGTCTGCTGTTGCTGTAACCTGTCTCTGGACCTGTTTCAACTACAGCGTCCGGCATGTCAAGGTGAAGCTCTTGAATGTTCCGACTGCGTGAGCTACCGCGAGACTCGGCACGTTTCTTCTCGAGAACATCGAACACTCCAGCTGCTGGGGAAGGTAGGTGATCGCTCGATTTCCCTGGGTTGAAAGTCGCTGCGGAAAGGACGAAATCTTTGGAACCGCTTGTTGCTCGGCGCGTCGAGAATGGTAGGGTCTCCACTTCGCGGCCGATATTGTCAATGGCAGTTCTTGGATGAGATTCGTTACGTTGGCCTCGATCTGGGATAGCCAACGATGCAAGGACTTCGTTGTTGGTAGTCTTGCGACCAGCGTCAGATCGCGAAGGGAAACGCTTCCTGCTGTATGAACCTGGTGTGGCAGTACGTGCCGATGACGGCTCCCTGGAGGCATCACGTGCAGCACGACCAAGCCAACCACCATGGCCTACAGCTGGGCTGATAGCTGATTCTGCGATAGGCGTGACACCGGCGTTCATGGGTGTCTTTTCGTCCTCTTCTCGGACGATCTGCCTGGGTTGAGGTCCGCGCGTGAAGTCCGTGACGAGCTTGAGTGAGGCCATCCTGGCCGCGACTCGGCTACTGCCAACACTACCACTAGGAGGCGACAGAGGGGGGCTCATTTGTGAGCCAAGAAGCGCTTGCTTCTGCGCAGAGAAAACGGCATCCTGCGCACGTGGTGAGAACCAGGGCTCTGTAGTTTCGAGACCCATGCAAGAGAAACAGCGCACGGCTAGCTCCGCTCTGCCGTGTTGAACTGCATGTTCTCCCCATTTGCGGACTAGAAAAGATTGCCTCTGCCAGTCAGTTGGGAATGTCAAACATGTCAGCAGGATGGCCTCCATGTAATATTTCCGAGACACGTAGACCTCGATGGCGTCGTTGTATTCACCCAGTCCGAGGAAGATGGCCACGGCGGGGTGGATGTCGCCCTTCTCCAGGAGACGCTGAACGAAGGCTTCACCGACCTTCTTTTGCGAGCCTTGACCCATGTTGCTCAAGGCCAGCAACATCCAGTCAGACGAAGTCATTGACTCAGAACCGACCATAGAAGCCATGAGATCAGCGCCGAGGTCACCAAGCCATTTCGAAAGAAGGACAGCAGCGGCTGAACCGGGGGAATGGCGTGCGAGTTCGTCCTGTACTAGATCCTCAATGTCTTGGTCCCAACCAAACACGACCTTGAGCATATTGAGTCGAAGATCGTCTGGAGTGCGATCTGGCCCAAGGTCCGTGGGGCGGAAAGGTACATCACTCAGCCTCATTTTGGTGAACGGGAAGAGATCCATGTGTTGGTTCTTCTTGGATTCTTCCGGGCTTCGCAGAACCTCTTTGCGGAGAGCTGAGGAGCCGTACCGGGATGAAGATGCAGCTGATGATATTGATCGAATGGAAACGCTTTCACGTGTTGAGGTGCCAGCAAGGGACGATGTGCCGGATGAGAAAATGGTACCGGAGCCGTTGGAGCTCTTCGATCTAGTTGACCT